CTTTTTTTTTTTAGTTTTTTTAGTTTTTTTTTTTGTCTTTTTTCTCGTGTTTATGTCTATAAAACATGGGTTTTCTCGTGAAGTATGAATCTTCAAAATACAGGTAAAAGCTATGGATAATGGAGGAGATGTGGGAATGAGTAGGGTTATCAGCAAGAGCAACGAAGATGCCCAACTCATGGTTGATCCTACTCCGGTTAGGACAAAAGGGTGGTGCGGGAAGAGATTGAAGTCATCCAAAGAAATAGCCATGTTTCAGTCGAAGAGAAATTGTCGTGTTTGTGGTCGCAGTGGACATGACAAAAGAACTTGTCCGACATTACAGTCGAGGTTAGTTGATCTATAAGGTTTAATCGTTGCCATTATTTTGTTTTACTTTCTACTATACTTGTATTTAAATGTAGGAATCAGCTGGTGGACGAACTGTATCATCCATAGTACTCTTGGGACAATACTTAGGAAGATAGGTACACTAGTATTGCTAGCAGTGATTATGGTGCATTCCATGGGTTTGACAATGATGACGACGATTAAACAACTTATTGTTGTAATCGTTCGACGTAGTTTGAATTAAATTTGAAGAAAATTTATTTAATTTGAAGTGTGAATTAAATTTATCTAGTTTGAATTAAATTTAAAGAAAATGTATGGCGCATGGCCAAATTAATTAACTTAAAAGGCAAGGCAAAGCAAAAACATTTTTAAAAAAAAATAAAAAAAAAAAACTAATGTTTGCGGCTGACAACATAAATTTTATATGGCTTAGCGCATAATGTTCTCCTGCGCGCAGGAGAACGGGACTGAATAATTAACTATAGCTTTATTTACTATATATTTTTATTATTTTATACGAATATTTTCACTCTTAATTAGAAGTCTGACTGGGCTTTACTTGGCCCATTCGTACAACTAAGGCAAGACCTATAATTAATCGGGCCCAAACCACATTTAAAAATAGTCTCTTAGAGATACTCTTAATTAGCCTTAATTTGAAAGTTTTATAAACAATTTATAAAAATAAATATTAAAAGAAATAGCAATAAGTCTCACAAAATGTATATAATATGAGTAATAAACAGAGGTTAAGGGCTCGTTTGGCATGTGTTTCAATTTTTAGTTTTGAGTTCATTTTCAATTTTCTATTTTGATGGTTTGTTTTTAAGATTGCTAAAAATGTGTTTTGTTTGTCATTTTAAAAAATTATTTATCAAAACAAAAAACTAGAAAACACATTTGACTTTATTTTATAACATTTTATTCCCGAAATTTGACTTTTAATTAAAAAAGAATAATTTTTTATTAATATATTATCAAGTAATATATATATATATATTAAAGTTGGAGGATTTTACAATATTTTTTTCTAGCTACAAAAAGTAAAATAATAAATTGAGTTCGAAATATTAAAAAAATTTAATGACGTGGACTAAGAATATTATTATCTGTGTTTATTTAAATAGTAAATAATTATTAAGATTTTGAATTATTTTTATTTTTTTGTAATTTAGGTTTTTTTAAAGAATTTTTTATAATTATAATTTTTAATTTTTAATTTTTTTAAAAAATTTATGTTTTTCGAATTTTAGAATTTTTTTTTTTTTTAATTCTTACCTTTAAAAATTTTTAAATTTTGTTTGTTAGAAACTTATATTTTTATTTTATAGAATTTTTAATTTTTAAATTTATTTAAATAAAAATTTATTCAAAAGTTTGTTTTCCATGTTTTGAACAATTTTAGAATTTTCACTGAAAACACTAAAAAAAACAAAAATTCATTTGGAGTTTTATGTAAAAAATTTAACCTTGTTTTCGAAAATGTATTTTTAAAAATACTAGACCAAATACATTTTTAGGGTTTTGAAAAATTGAAAAATAACAAATCAAACACACCCTAATGTTTCTTACATCACCCATCAAAATAATAATGATATTGTCCCTACGTGTATGAAACAGTGGTAAAGTAAGATGATTCTTTACAGAGTATCAGATATTTAAATCCTCATAATAGCTAGAAAATAATATTTTATGTTGGAATTCAAATGTCCTGTGCAGACGAAATTATGGAGCAATTTTTAAAATAGGGGTTCAAGGAGGAAAAAAAATTCTTACATATCTGGCTCTAGTGTATATAAACTGTAACCGTATCCAATTTATATGGGTGGCGAATCAAGGGAAAAGGTTGCTATTCCTCATGGAAGTTTGGATAACTAAGTAATGAAAAAAATGATATTCATCTAAAATTGATATGAACATTTATCTATGTAGCAGTGAGGTTACAATCACATTATCCAATAAATTTTTAATGTATTTTCAGGCATTGAATCATTTTTATGCATTTTTAGATAGTGGAGCTGTGCTCAAATTTAGGGTAAGAGATCTCATCGATAGACAACCATTAAAATGAGTTTTTTTTTTTTTTTTTTTTTTGAAAAATCAATTTTTTGGAAAATGTCTAATTAAAAAGTAGAAAACAAATTTACTTACATGTAGAATATGTTATTGTGAAAGCATGACTAAAAATGAGTTTGAAAAAAAAAATTTGTTTTAATGAATGTCAATCACTTAATCATGAAAGAGTTTTGTTAAGAGTAAAATTGGAAAAGAGAAATTAATTTTGACAATTATACACGTACTTACCTCTCTTTGAGAGATTAGTAAAAGATCCGGGAGAGTGGAGACGTTAAGGTGACAAACAAGGAATGCTACAAACAGTAATTATTAGTTTTCTTTTACCCAAAAAAATGTAAAATTTTACGAATTTATTAATTGTCATTTCCAACGTCCCGATCTTGTACTTTAATAAAAATGTTTAAGCTAAATATAAGCGAGATGGAAGTACCTAAGGCAACAAAAAAAAAAATTTTAATTTTATATTATTTTCTGCCTATAACAAATAAATATATTGCTAGAAAATTGATGGTGATGAAAGACCCTAACACAGTATGAGATTGATGTTTTTGAGTCGATACTAAATAATCAAAAGCAGTGTTCACCTTCAATGCTTGTTCTGGACGTTGAACGAACAAACTATCCAGCTGTTTGATATAAATATACGAGAAAGAAAAGGTAACAATTAATGAATGTTGATTGAGATTTGAGAAAGTCTTATGATCAAGATGTACGGTTGGATTAAAATTGAGCAAAGACGAAAAACGGATATTGACAAATGCAAATGCAAATTAATTAGGAGTGGACGCGATATAATTCGATTCGATTCCGAAAAGAACCATACCAGTGAAAATTTTAGTAATGGAACAACTGGCTCCGTATGTAACAGTGGAACCAAACCGATCAATCAAGTTCTTTACATTGAAAATAGGTAAACAAAGTGTTCACTAATAAAAAATTCCAATTAAGTCTACTTTGAAGTTGCAAATTTTCACTAAAATTGCTTTCAAATTGCAAATTTCCAAGTCAACAGTGTAAAATAGAGTATAAATTCAAACAAATAAATTAACAACTAATGTCTAAATAACCTATTGCAATAAATTAACAATCTACCATGACAAAATTAAACTTAAAAACTCTTCTATAGTATTTATAAAATTATTTAAGTACATATTTCAATTACCCATGGATTGAGAAGGAAATAATCAAAGAATTGAAATTAAGAATCGAAGAAATTGATTAATTGAAGGGAAGAAAGAAGTTGGAAGAGTGAAAAAGGAAAAGTGAACATGATTATGGTTTTAAAAAATCATCAAATATTGAGATTTTATATTTTATCCAAAAAATAAATAAATAAATAAACAAAATGAAGAAACTTCTTAGAACTTGATTAACATTCGGTTCTCACCGAGAACCTGATCGAAACCGATCGGTTCTCAATGATATGTCCCAAAATCGAACTGTCTTTTAGATGAACCGGATTGTAACCGGCCAGTTCTAATCGGTTCCACTAGTTCCGGGATCACGACTTTTAAAATTTGGTGGAATTTCTATATTAATAAAAAAAATATCTTTTTTCACGATTATCAATAAAATAATGTTTAATAGGTCATTCTCATGAAGGGAGATGACCAATCCCACCCAGATCGTCAAGTTAAAATGGTATAAAAATAGAGTGAAATTCCTACTCATTTAACTTGTAAATTGTGAGATTCACAATTTGTGCACTTTAATCCACACAATTTGTAAATCCCAAAGTTTATAGAAAAGAAGAGACATATTTGCCAAAACCTAGAATGTTTGTTTTCTTCATACCTTTTGAGTGAGAAATGAAATAAGATAACAAGTATATAGAGAAGTTTGGATGTATACAATGGAGCAAATGAAATATCACACCAGAACTTTTGATACATCATTCTACTCTATAGTAATGATTTATCGTATTGGTGTGGGTTTATTATGACAGTAGTCACTGAAGTTTAGAATGCAGATTTTTGGTTAGCGAACAGTCGCAGGTACAAATCTCGCGAGCAACAGCTCAATGTATCGGGTCCAGAGAGGTATAATATACACCCTTACTCCTGTCCATACTTCCCCATCTTTTTCTAAGACAAACTGTATATCGACTCCGATGCATGTTATGCGTCCATTTTTCTTGTGGCAGTCACTTTACTTTCAGACAAACCGTCAAGGCTATCCATATATAACAGCAGATTTCCATCATTATTGCATTTTTAGGCAAGAACTAGGAGAGTAAATATATTTATAAAAGAGCAAGGGAAGATCCTTATTTAGATCTTACATCGCTTAAAAATTTTAGTTACCAATTACCATGCTGTACTGTGCTTGATACACCATTAAACTTGACACCACAACTGGACATGTAAGATTATTCGAAAGTAACACAATTCGAGACATACAAAATAAGCCCAATAGTTAATTCCAAATTGATTATTAATGATGTGTCCCTCTATTCGCACTCTAATATGTCATGTATTCATTCTTCCAAATGAACTCCCCGATCGAATTCTGAGTACTAGAATTGGTAGTTCACATATCCAAGAAACTAGACCGACTCCCATATATTAACGCCACTATCAGATTAAGAGGGGCATAGTTACAATTGGGGAGTAAAATTAATTGAGAAAGCTAGATCCGGTTTAGTTTCTACCTCAAATCTCTACTCTTAGTTTGGGATAGAAGTAAAATAGCATAGAATCAGTACACGTCATGCAAGAGAGACAAACTTTATACAATCTTACTCGTCCTACCAGAAATTGGATTGAGAAACAATACCTTGACTGTGGCAATATACGCTTATTCCTGTTGCCTACTCTTTCACAGGAGCATAGACATTTCTGCACGACCTGGTTGAGTTGCAGGGGGTGATTTAATCAAAGGTTTCAGGGATTCCATGATGCTGGAAAAGGAGGGGCGTTTCCATGGCTCACTGCAGTATTATTGGTCAAAGTGAGTAAAGAGAAAATGATGTCCAACTCTAGGCTTAGTCAATGTTTGGAAATTTCAATTTTACAAGTCTAGTAAGAACTCTATCTGAAGTGGTTTAAGTGAAACTGGGTTGAATAAATATTTAAGTGAACCAATTAAACCAGAGTTTGAAGGGAAACTGGGTGTCACCCAAAAACAAGTGCATACATACAAGTAGGTAAGAAAATAAATTTATTAAGGGAGAGGAGTATTGGGAAAGGGATTTAAGCTGAAATAAAACCAGCAGTATACTCACTAAAACTAATTTTAGGCTTTCCGATAAATAGCAAAAGGAATTGAAACCAGTTTCTATCACTCACTTTATCCAACAGGCTTCAATTATGGCTGCAACCTGAGGATTCACATCACGTGGAATCTCAAGCCGTTTACCCTTAAAACCAACAGCCGCTACAACCTGTAATAATGAAGACATTGAGTTAAGGCTCATCATCTAAATGAATTCAAGCAAAATACAGAAAGAAATAACAAACAACAACAGGAAGATAGACTAGAAAAATTGCAAAGACAAAATGACGAAGTGCAGAAAGTGTTAAAAGAACTGAAGATTATGAATGTTATGAGCAGTTACGGTTCATGCAAAAAAGTATGATGCGTGCTAAACATAGAAAGATTAACAGAAAATTCTAGAATCGTACATAAATTTTAAAAAAGCAGTACACTGATGATAATGGTAAGAAACATGCGCAAATATACATGACTTGATAAGGATATAAAAGGGCTATCGTGAAAAATATCACATCTAATATATTGACACGGAGCTTTAATTAAATACAGTACTGGCACCATGATTTTAGCAAATCCAGCACTCTTCTCCTTTTCCCATTTTTCAATATTTTAAGGGGAGGGTGGACATCTTCAGCACCATGTGTGTCACCTTTAATGGCCAAGTGCAAAGCAACCACGCACTCATTCTATCTCACCCAAACCAAAACCAAAGAATGCGGCAATCAAGTTAATAACTGGGCAACAGCAATCACCTATCAAGGTTACACATCTATACACGCAACAAGTGTGCCCAAAGGGACCAAGAAAGCAATGAAAAAGGGTTAACGACCACAAAACAAAGCCAGCATTCAACGCTAATACACACCTTGCATTAGCTTGAATATCTGGCCTTCAATGTGATGTCTTAATTTTCATCCAACTTTTTAGAAATTTGTCAGATATGATCCATTAAAAAGTGAATCCATCATAATATGTGAAAGATTTTTAACCCAGTTTCATGATATCATTATTTACATCACATAATTACCCAATAGATTGAATAGTGTATAGAGATAAGTTGGGAGTAAGTTAAACTGGAACTAGTTAACTACTCCATTGATTTTTATATTTGTGGAAATAGGGTGTGACAATAAGATGCTGCTGTTAAATTGTTAATTTAACAATTTATTAAATTTCAAATCCTTGTAAACCCATCATGATATTCATATTTGGCTAGCCACGGCACCAAAAATATGAGGCTTATTTTCCATTGTTTACATTTTATCCAAGAACGTGTTTCCCAATTTACAAACCTGCGCTGCATTCAAATTACTCCATGGTTGCTGCAATGTTGCCAGCTCCCACAAAATCACACCAAAACTGTATACATCTGATTTTTCATTTGATGGTTCATCACGGAGAACTTCAGGTGCCATCCACTCAGGCTATCAAAATCGAAGAAAGAGTTACATCAAGATCAGCTGCAGATTAAGGCATCGGATCTTTGTATCTTAAAGCAAATGAACTCACAGTTCCAGCAGCTGTCTTTGATGAAAGAAACGTATTGGCTTTTAAACGGGAAAGACCAAAATCACAGACCTGGTGGAAGACATTGGAAGAGGTAATGATATGTACATGTATAACGATAATTAGAAAAATAGAAAACAAATAATTCAATGACATTCAAAAAACTTGACAAGGAAAAGAAAGCATTAGAAATAGTATGTATTGAATGGATAAGTATGAATGTTTAATATCTACTGGCTTCTAATGAAGACTGAAGCGACCATCAGAGGAGGAGAGACAGTTAACGGAAGATTCTGGAGATTTTTTAAGTCGTGAACAAGATTGCTCTAGAAAGGAAGAAAATGACTACTAAAGCTCTTAGGACAAATTTTCTTAACACACTCATGTGGTGGATAAGTATATAATCCCTGACATTAATTTTTTGTCAATTTTTAGAAATTATGTATATATATATATAGAAGGAAAAAAATCCTCTGGGTGAAGACTCTTTTTGTACATGAGATGCAGTTCATGGTGCCATATGTAGAACTTTCAGAAAAAAATCTATTTCATAGCTCACCAAATCACCATACAAAAATGCTTCACAAACATAATATTAGATTAACCAATATGCACGCAAAACATATTCAGTATCTTACCTTCACGGTATATTTTCTGTCAACTAAAAGGTTAGGAGATTTTAAGTCACGATGAACAATGGGAGGATTGCGTTTATGAAGATAGTTCATCCCCTTTGCCTGTGCAAATAATATAACTCATCAAGTGCAAAAGATCGATGTGTGTGTGTGTGCATGAGAGAGAGAGAGGACAAGAAGATTTTACAGCATCGAAGCCATGAATTAAAGTATGTGAATGTATACCACATCATAAGCCATGCACAACCGACGCCTCTCATTCAATGCTGCTCTCGCAGTGGGATCACGCAGAAGTACATATAAACTACCCCTGGGTATGAAAAGTAAAACCATAAAACCAGTCAGCAAAAACCTCTACAAGACAGTGTGACATGTAATAACTAATGTCTGGGAAGTTAGTGATCGATATAAATTACTTCGATAAATATTCAGTGACTATGGACAAGTTTGGTGGCTCCGTAACAGCACCCATTAAAAGCACAATATTTGGATGGCGTAATCGTTTCATAATCGCAACCTAATCACAGCAAAAATTTAATCTAAATAATCAATCAAACGTGGGATCAAAAAGTTGGAGAAAAATGAGAGGTAGCTAACATGTACCTCCTGTAAAAATTCCTTGAATCGCTTCCCATGGAAGTCTTGTTCCATGAGAATCTTCACTGCAACTTCCTGAAAAATACCGGCTTTTGTAAGATTAAAACTGTCAACATCAAATAAAAGGAAGGTGAGTATTTTCGCATGATAAATTATTTTACCAAACTGCAACAATAATTAATTTGAAACAGAACANAAAAAAAAAAAAAAAAAAGCCAACTTATGAGATACACGAGTCAACATAATAATTAAAAATGATCCTTAGATGATAACATAATACGAAGTCTGCACATAGCATCGCTTCTGAAGCAGCAAAAAAAGTACCTGATCCAATTGTCCCCTTCAGAACAAGATCATTCCGCGGAATGATCAGACCATCGAAATCAAATGCAAATTCACTTGATTTAGATGGAACCACTTTACCTCCCTCAACAATCTTCACTTCTCTGCTAGGGCTTATCCTAGGATATGGCTTTGCAATTAGTTGTTGACCATCATTATGCACAATCGCGGGTATATGCTTTGGAGGGGCTGAGTCTTTGACTATGTTATGAGGGTTAGACGGTTGGGAAATCAATAGTTCTCTATCAAGAACCTTTATCCAGGAATGTACTGGAAATTGTGTTAATTGAGAAATTTCAACTTGATTGCTTGAGCTGGCCTGAGGGCTGATTCTATCCATGTATAGAACTTCCGGTTGTTTAGGATATACGGACTCCATCATATCGCCATCAATATTGATTCCAGCTGTCACAAGAGAAACTTTTCTGATTCATAATTCAACCAAACCACACCAGTAGGATGGTCATCAGTTATCACTATTAAGTGCAATGTAAATCGTAAAAAATCATATAATAGTTTTACATGTCTGAATTATACATACATGTAACGAGCATCACCGCCAAGTAGAATATATGGAAATCCGAAAATCTCGAGAAAGGCAACACACATTGTAATCACATCTATATTCGTAACAGTAATAGAAGACATCAAAGAATTTTGTACTGCGCTACTCAAAGAGAAAACAAACTAGAAGAACTATGCTAACCGAAGGAAGAGAAGAGAGTAAATCTAGAGCATTAAACAATCACTAATATTAAAAGAAAAAGAAATGAGCCTTGATAGCATAGGGAATAGCTTAGTTATTAAAGACATGCTTGAAAAGATTAAAAAAAATTAGGCAAAAGAGCTAGATGCAGTTGGCCAAAATCCAAGCGAAACAAAATGAAAACCTGAATATTCAGCAGACATCAAATATAAATCCATTACAAGGACAAACATGCCACAGTAAAAACTGGTCCCTAAAAAGAAGGATCTCGGTATAATGGTAGCGTAAAGGTCAGGGTCCCAAAATTTACCAATTAAAAGCCAGTTATCTTAGGACATGAACACCAAAGAACAATAGTTACGATTACCTGCTGAAGAATCATCAAACACAAGATTAAGCGTTCGCAAGTCCGAGAAATACTGTCTGGCCAGCAACCTAAAATTGATTGCAGGTTCAACGGGTCTGACTCGAGGAAAGCGTAGCGGTGAGAAAATTGAAATGGAAGAAGGACCATTTAACAATGCATCTGGCTCACACAAGCATCCGGGCTTCTCCACCAAATCAACGAGATATTCTCTGTGATTTCAATGGAATAATAGTTACATCATCTAACCCATTGTGTACAACTCTCACTATGTTATTAGGCATATTAATATTGCCAACCAATAGACACCCCAAGACCCAAAATAGTCCTCATAAGCCTCAAAGAAGCGAAACAATTGAGAAAAAAGAGAGTGCGGCTTGTTTAGGTATCAAAGTCAGCCACTCATAAACTACAAACAGATTAGATATACAAACTCTGTAATATAAAGAGTCTTAGCTAAATCAGTCAACACCATAGTTAGCCTTTTTTAAATAAAAGAAGGTAGCCCTTTAAACGGTAATGCATGTTGTTGCCAGATTACATGTCACAGTTTATAAAAGATGCTTTTGGAATGTAATTCTTTCCATCAGGTTAAGTAGCATTTAATTTTTGTCTCAACAAAGTGACTAAATACACATGAAAATGAAACTACCCTACATCATAAGATATACCTGTCGAGTCCAAATCGAACAAGACATGAGGATGCGTTATCTCTTGTACAATAATTACATCCTTGGGCAATTCGACATGGTAAGCCAATGATGTCTGCTAAAACCTTCAGAAATCATATTTCAAGTGCAAATTAGAAATCCAATACTCTAAATGGGCATTCAAAAGAAAAAGTGGAAACTAGCTTTCAAAAGAATAAGATTTTACACGCACTTCCAAAAGTAGGGTAAGTGGAGGGAAGAGCAATGATTTCCTGCCGGCAGGGATACACTTGGGGCTTTAAAGGAGAAATGTGATACAGAAAATTCCAATAAAAATTACGACAAAAAAATTGCCATGGCTACACTTTGGCATTTGACCCCCAAATTAGCAACTTTATCAACTTTGACATATCCAACCAAACAATATATTTCAGAAGACAGTATCAAAACCTACTTTGAATAGCAGTGCACGGTGTCTGCAAAGTCCAACGGACAGGCTACCTATAGGGAGCACAATCGATCCCAAGCAATCCTTCAGGTCATTGCTATGGTCTTTCCAGATCGTAACCAAGTCATCTTCGCCATTGGAAGCTGCACTCCTTTGAAAGTAATAAAGCTTGATTACAACAAGAATAAGGCAGAAACAAAAACTTACGTGTAATATTTAAAATAGGAGCTGCTAAAGCTCACCCCATACGATTGCAAACTAGGTTTGCAAGCTGGTCAACAACTTCCTTTGTGTTAATACAACTAGAGGACACATTATGAATCCAATTTTGCAGCTCTTTCAAGCTGGGATCACTATGTCTATCAACTGAAATGACTTCAATTGAAGACAAAGCGGAAGGATCCATGATCTTTAAAGATTCAATTGATGGAATATGGCCACTTTCTTGAAGATTGGAGCAGACAGTCCAAACATAAGGATCCATTCCATGAATCGAGTAAAACCCGTCGGGAACTTTGTCGAAATATGATAAACAACCATTTACCTGACGCAAAATAAGAAAAATGACAGAGTTTTAACCTAGACTAAAAAGATAAATCAAACCAGCATCTGCTGCAAATCTTTACCTTGTTCTCATATTCTACATGACAAGAAAGCCAAAAGGAAATAAGTCAATTTTTGTAACCTGGAGACAACAGCTAATGTATTGCATTGTGCATACAATAATTCCGTTGACACCAATATTATTTCTTTGTCATTTTCCAGTTCAACAAAATTTATCCAAATTGTGATGCCCTAATCTATATTTGGAGGAAATCAACTTCCCTGACCAGCAATATTTACCACATTTATTTCTGTTCTCCATGCCAGGCTACCATAGAAAGTAGAGATCACCCGAGCATAAAGGTGAATATCTAAAGTTCCAACTTCCAATGTTACAGGGCATGCATTCCCGAAAAATAATTTCACTGTATCCTCGTTCTGTTTTGTTGTTGGAAAATTGGTTGATGAATAAAATACTGGAATCTACCACAAATTTATAAATTGCAAATATGCTAATCTAAATGCATGCCACATGTACACTTGATCCTCATATTCGTAATAGTCATTAAATTAGACAGTCCTCGGCATTTCAATTAAGGTTTGCTCCATTGTAGTAATTAGACTCTATACCCAACCATTAATAGATTGTCACAAAGACTTTAATACTAGTATGATTCGTAAAATATATCTTACTTCTTTCCAAAAATGAGATCCCTGCAAGTATGTCTAATTCATGAGGCATATAATAGGTCTGACTGATAGAGAGAAACTTTTCATGGACATTTCATTTTCAGGAAACTTACACAAGCATGCCCATCCATAAAGAAGAACACTTGCTTCCTACTCCACCAGTCCAACATTCTACCTCGACAAACCACTAATTTCATTAGCTATATATTGTTTTATTAATTTCAACATATCCCGCCAATTTAGGACTGCCACATTCCTCGTTTCTCAATTCCCAAAACCTCACAGTTTCGAGTTATGCACATGCTGCGCTCATTTAGTATATAATCACGTTTCAGGATGCCCCATACATCATAATTCACAAATAAATGCAATAACAAAAGACGACTTCAAATTTCAAAAACACAAAGAAAGCCAATTCAGAATCTGCAATTCTATTTCAAAAGTATTAGAAAGCGTTACCCAAAATCGCTGGGACATGGTCTCTGCAGAGGCAGCAGAAGAAGAAGCCCGCGATGTCGACTCATCCGGCACGGGATCCAAGAAATTGGGGTCATCAGCGCAAATAGCTGTGGAGGACAGCCGAAGAGCCAAAGCCAACTGTAGTTGGTAACTCTCCTCCGTCTGCTGTGCCCAGCTCTTAGAAGACCACGAGCCTCCTCCACCGCCACATGACGTCCCCTTAAATCCGCCGCTTCCTCCATTGCTAATATGGCCAAAAGACGCCATCTCGGGGTTCGAAGGAATTGAAGGAGCGTAGTAGTCTCCCGAGATCGAGCTATCACCAAAGCTACTGCCGCTCGACTGCCTCTGCAAACCGATCGACGGTGGGAACACCGCCGCTCCGATCCGGCTCAGAGGAGGCTGCGGTAACAATGAGTCGTCGGGAGTTTGACTTAACAAGGTATAATTTGATAGTCTACCTGACATTTCCATCGTACAAATTTTACCAAATTACAAAATTTTTAACTCAAAACCCTAATGCCCCCATGGCTGGAGCTCTAAATTTCTCCTTTTCCTCTTTAGATTTTCTCTCTACCGGAAAGTAAGAATGTCTCCGTTTAGCGGTGTAATCGTAATATTCTTTTTAATTTCTGTTGTTCTTTATTTAATTTAATGTCCATTAAACTTATATCTCACATTGGCTTCCGAATAATCACCAAAACTTTAATATTTGATATTCTATCACGTACACACCATATTTCATTAGTAATTAAACTTTAAAAATGATTTCGAGTGATCAATAAAATTTAACACGTTACACTTCATCGCTCACTCATCATATTTTATTAGTTATTGAACTTATATATTTATCACACTTTACTCATTAAATTTTAAAATATTTTCCTAGTGATTGATAAGAAGTATTTTAAAATTCAAATAGTAAAACATGACGAATGTATAAATTCAATAACTAATGAAAGTTAATAAAAGGAGTGCAACATGTTAAATTTCAAAGACCATTCAAAAGCATTTTTAGAGTAACCAATGAAATATGGTGAATGAACGATGAAATATAAAGTGTTAAGTTTTGTGACGACTTGAAAATATTAAGGTTTAGTGAGTAAAACGCAACATAACTATAAGTTCAGTGACTAATAAAATATTTAACCATAGTTGTCGGACTCGACACGAATACTAATCCGAACAATGCAGTGGATCAACAGTTGACCTAATGGCTCAATCGGAGGCCAATTCCTGTGAAACATATTATGAATTATTTTCATTGTATAACAAATTTTGATATTTTTTACCACTATAATTAAATTAATCTTATGTTATATCGGTGATTAAAGATCAATTTGTATGTCAAAATTCAATGACACTATATCATAAATTGTGAAATATTCATTTTACATGTGCATTGTTTTTTACACTCTTCCATGTGATAAGATCTACATTCTTAATTTTGAAAACATTCATCACATTACTGTACATACTTCTTCCACGTATGAGGGGATGTCAGTCATTATGTCGATCACATTACTGTACATACTTTTGCAGTGCTTCCGTTTTCCGAGAAATTCATCTCATGTCAACTTTCTTTCAAAACTTTGCTAATTAGACAAATAATTTTTAAAAAATTATCCAAACATATTCAAAATTAACATTTAGTCTTAAAATTATTTTTGACATTTCAAAATCCCTACCAAACTGACCCTTGGTAATTTTAGGGGTTTGTAGAATGTAGAGGTCAACTGTAAGCCTCTGGAATGATTGTCTAGCGTTCTTATTCAAGATTTTGAAGATTGTACGTAGCTCTAGGTCAAGTAACTTACCCTTTAACATCTCTATAAATTGATAGTCTTGACTCATAATACTGGGCAAATTATGTAAATCACAGGACAATATTTGAAGGATAATGAGACATTGAGACAAGAAGTCAAAGCATAGCGTCCATTGCCAATTGATTTTAATCATGCCCTAAGGGCGTGTTTATTTTAAATATACTATTATCGTAAGGTAATCCTTCGAGATGGACAAATTCTCACAAGCTGACAATTTTATTGTAACAATGTGCAAACATATTGCATAAGATGGCACCTCATGCAAGTCTTGGGATGCCAAGGTACACACACTGAGTGCTATAGACATAACAAAAGAACGAACTAGTACAGACCATAGACAGAAAGACAGAACAACATGTACTCAGAAATGCCTATTGCTATTGGACCTATTTACATGTTGATTCCTTCAACTCATTTGACCCGACCTCTTGCATTGTAAACCGGAGTGCTTAAGTTTAACAGATTTTGATAAACGTTAATGAAATGTGCAATTGAAAAGTTGTGAGTTCCCTGAAATATCTTGTTAAAATTAAATGTTGGCTTTGACTTTAACAAAAATCTAGATTATAATTTATATCAAACAATGGCATAATGTGTAAACTTCTTTTTTCTTTCGTATCCAACATTATTCAATTCTCCTCATAAAATTGCATATTTGAGCCATCAGATATGATATGTGGATCGAGGTGGTTGATGAGATTTTAACATTTTTCTTCCTAATATTTATTTTGGCATGGTCTAGTCAAGGCACCTCACTAAAAATACCATAACAATATAATTGTCTAATATGGTCGATCTTATTACTCAAAATTATTAACAACTGATGTCAAAGTTCAGAATAAAGGTGCAAAGTCATTGTCTTTGAGCAATAGGTGGCAATAGGTTTAAGGTGTACGTTACATGTCAACATTCGAAGCTCTTAAAAGTGTTATTTCCCACCTTCATTGTTTAAATGCCCACCTTATTCTTTTTCTTCCAGTAGATATCATCTTTAAGTTTGTCCACGTCACAATACATGAACGCCGCTCTTTTTCCAATCACACGAACACATTGACTTTGACATCTAGTTCAAAAATCATACTACAATGTCACATGTCTTGACACAATGTGATATGACATTCTATTATCAGACCGTTTTAGACACAATCAGTTTTGGACTGAGCTGTTCTGTCAGGCCTCTAAAAGGCCTTACACAGCAAATGTGAGATGGGGGGTTTAATGAGGTGGGTCATATGAGAGAACCAGCTCTACCAGGCCTTGATTAATTCATTAGTTTTTCCATCAAATCATCGGTTATCAAATCGAATTATGTAATTGAATCTATTAAATTTCTTTTGGCAATGTGACAAAATCCCTAGTTCAAAGACAGGCCAACACATGTAGATAGAATCTATGGCAACATTTACAGACAAGTGTTTTTGAACTTTATTTAATTATCACAGACATCTTTAAATTTGAAAGTGCCTTCGTAATTTTGCAAAGAATTGCACAGATCCATACCTAAATACACAGAGTGACGATGATAAAATGCATCATGAATGTTTTGTTTGTGAAATAGCTCGTAAAACATAAAGAATTAAGACGACACATTCAATTTCTGTCAAAAAGGAACTCTTATGTTTCTTATTTCTTTTTTTTTATAACCGTGGATATCCGAGCCAGCTTACGCACATTTCAACTAATCCCACGAGGCCCTGAAATTTACGACCGGGTACTCACATCAGGGGCCCCGAGGGGATTCGAACTGAACTCTATGTTTCATTTGATAACCAAATAATTAAGATTTGCAAATACAATGTTTCAATGGTTGCCACCTGCACTACTTATGTTATATGGTTTTCGGATCGCATGCATTAGATTCACGTGACACATTAATCGACAGATTCTCGAAACACATTTTTAGTATGTTAGCTTGTTTGGGAGGGATTTTAATCCAATTAAAATTGAAAATATAACCGTTATTGAGTCTCACCCGTCTAATAAAAGTCAACAATAACGACTAGTTTTTCAATTTTAATCCCTCCCAAACAACAACTACTTTGGCTGGGTCGGGTATCATAACTATGCCTACATACTGACAAAATCAACCGGTAAATTAGAAAGTGTCAAATTACAGTGACTTTTGAGAGGCTCAACTTCATAATGCAAGGTTTAAAATGGAACTATACAAGCAGCAAGCACCCAAATTATTTATTTGGCAGTTGACACTAACAAGTCTAAATTGAAAACTAAGCATATATGACAATTGTTTATAAACAGTTGGATAAGTGAGTAGTATTTGTGGATCCCATGAAATACGTGGATAAAAAGTGATTTGACTTTTATCAAGCATTTATAAACACTGGCCAAATATAAGCTAAAATGATTTTTTTTTTTTTAAATAACTGTGGATGTCCGGACCAGTTCGAGCGCACCTCAACTAATCCCACAAGGTCCAGGGGTTTACGGCCGAGTACTCACCTCAGTGACCCTGAATGGACTCGAATTGATGACCATTGGAGAGCAACCCCAATGCTTGACTAATTAAGCAACCACTCAATGTTAAACATAAGCTAAAATGATGATGATAATATTAATTGTTGTGGCGAGTAGACTAACCGTCAAACAGAAAGCTAAGACTCTCTATTCTAAAGAATGAACCGCATCCTTAGCGGCCCCACCTACCCTACCCTGGGCCTTGATAAAAGAGGTAAATCGCAGGTTATGCCTTCAAGGGTAGAGGGTGGAAGGCTGCTGCGTCAAGGGTTTGAATCATACAATATGGATTTGACCTTGGGTAAGTGCTACCTCATCAATATAGTTTTCATGTGAAGAAAACTGTGATGTTCGTATTACAAGTAAAAAGAGAGCCTAATTTTACAATCACCATTTTAGACTTTGAAAACCTCCTCATATTTGGCAACCACAACCCCAAAAACTCATAATCAACCTTAGCCACACCTAAAGCAAATAACAGTTATATCTGCTAGGACACTTCATCTGAGCAGAGCAATAAACAAAATTTAATCGAAAACCAAACAGATTTAGCTTAAAACAACAAATTTCAACTAGAGGAGGCATCAAAGCCAATGGATTTCATCTGAATGTTTACATAATTCTATCACATTTATTCATAAAGAAAGAAACGATTCTCATCCTCGTCATAATCAACATAAACTCAAGTTCAAATAAACATAGAAAGAGGAAACATTACTCTCAAAGGGCCTTGACCATGTCTTCAGCACTGCTAACATTAAAGGCGCCTCCCTCCTCCAAGTTCAAGATTTTCACAACCCCATCTTCCACATACATAGCATACCTCCTGGATCTGACCCCTAGTCCTATAGGCTTATCACTCAAATCCAGTTCACATCCAATAGCCCTGGTGAAATCCCCATTCCCATCACTCAGCAACAATACCTCATCACCAATATTCAGGTCCTTCTTCCAAGCTTTCATCACAAACGCATCGTTAACAGAAATGCATGCAATTGTGTCCAACCCCTTGGCCTTTAACTCTCCGGCCTTCTCCACGAAACCTGGGAGGTGTTTCTGGGAACAGGTGGGAGTAAACGCCCCAGGAACCGCAAAGAGAATGGCCTTTTTATTGGAAGTAAGCTCAGACACGGAGACAGTTTGGAGCTCGTCGGAAGAGTCGAGATA